CCGTTGTCACATTTGTCACTGTTGTCACCGTTGTCACCGTTGTGACCGTTGTTACTGTAGTCACTGTTGTCACCGTTGTCACCGTTATCACCCTTGTCACTGTTGTCACCGTTGTCACTGTTGTCACTGTTGTCACTGTTGTCACTGTTGTCACTGTTGTCACATTTGTCACTGTTGTCACCGTTGTCACTGTTGTCACCGTTGTTACTGTAGTCACTGTTGTCACCGTTGTCACCGTTATCACCCTTGTCACTGTTGTCACCGTTGTCACTGTTGTCACCGTTGTCACTGTTGTCACTGTTGTCACCGTTGTCACCGTTGTTACTGTTGTCACTGTTGTCATAGTTGTCACCGTTATCACCCTTGTCACTGTTGTCACCGTTGTCACTGTTGTCACTGTTGTCACCGTTGTCACATTTGTCACTGTTGTCACCGTTGTCACCGTTGTCACTGTTGTCACTGTTCTCACTGTTCTCACTGTTCTCACTGTTGTCACTGCTGTCAGCGTTGTCACTGTTGTCACCATTGTCACCATTATCACGCTTGTCACTGTTTTCGCCGTTGTCACTGTTGTCACCATTGTCACGGTTCTCACTGTTGCAACCGGTTTAACCGTTGTCACTGTTGTTATTGTTGTCACTTTTGTCACTGTTGTCACCGTTGTCACTGTTGTCAGGGTTGTCACGGTTATCACCGTTGTCACAGTTGTCACTGTTGTCACCATTGTTACTGCTGTCATTGTTGTCAAGGTTGTCACCGTTGTCACCGTTGTCAGTATTGTCACTGTTGTCACCGTTGTCACTGTTGTCACTGTTGTCACCCTTGTCACCCTTGTCACTGTTGTCACCATTGTCGTTGTTATCACTGTTGTCACCGTTGTCACGGTTATCACTGTTGTCACCAATATCACCATTGTCATCGTTGTCACCATTGTCACCGTTGTCATCGTTGTCCCTGTTGTCACTTTTGTCACTGTTGTCACTGGTGTCATGGATTTTCACGGTTGTCACTGTTGTTGCTGTTGTCGCTGTTGTCCCTGTTGTCACCATTGTGACGGTTTTCACTGTTGTCACCATTGTAACCGTTGTCACTGTTATCACTTTTGTCACTCTTGTCACCATTGTCACCGTTTTGACTGTTGTCACCGTTGTCAGTGTTGTCACTGTTGTCACCATTGTCACTGTTGTCACAGTTGTCACGATTGTCACCGTTGTCACCGTGGTCACCGTTGTCACTGTTGTCACCGTTGTCACTGCTGTCACTGTTAACAGTGTTGTCACTGTTGTCAGTGGTGTCACAGTTGTCACCGTTGTCACTGTTGTCACTGTTGTCGCCCTTGTCACCTTTGTCACTGTTGTCACAGTTGTCTTGGTTGTCACAGTTATCACTGTTGTCACTGTTGTCACCATTGTCACCGTTGTCATCGTTGTCACCGTTGTCACCGTTGTCACTGTTGTCACCGTTGTCACCGTTGTCACTGTTGTCACTGTTCTCACTGTTCTCACTGTTCTCACTGTTGTCACTGCTGTCAGCGTTGTCACTGTTGTCACCATTGTCACCATTATCACGCTTGTCACTGTTTTCGCCGTTGTCACTGTTGTCACCATTGTCACGGTTCTCACTGTTGCAACCGGTTTAACCGTTGTCACTGTTGTTATTGTTGTCACTTTTGTCACTGTTGTCACCGTTGTCACTGTTGTCAGGGTTGTCACGGTTATCACCGTTGTCACAGTTGTCACTGTTGTCACCATTGTTACTGCTGTCATTGTTGTCAAGGTTGTCACCGTTGTCACCGTTGTCAGTATTGTCACTGTTGTCACCGTTGTCACTGTTGTCACTGTTGTCACCCTTGTCACCCTTGTCACTGTTGTCACCATTGTCGTTGTTATCACTGTTGTCACCGTTGTCACGGTTATCACTGTTGTCACCAATATCACCATTGTCATCGTTGTCACCATTGTCACCGTTGTCATCGTTGTCCCTGTTGTCACTTTTGTCACTGTTGTCACTGGTGTCATGGATTTTCACGGTTGTCACTGTTGTTGCTGTTGTCGCTGTTGTCCCTGTTGTCACCATTGTGACGGTTTTCACTGTTGTCACCATTGTAACCGTTGTCACTGTTATCACTTTTGTCACTCTTGTCACCATTGTCACCGTTTTGACTGTTGTCACCGTTGTCAGTGTTGTCACTGTTGTCACCATTGTCACTGTTGTCACAGTTGTCACGATTGTCACCGTTGTCACCGTGGTCACCGTTGTCACTGTTGTCACCGTTGTCACTGCTGTCACTGTTAACAGTGTTGTCACTTTTGTCAGTGGTGTCACAGTTGTCACCGTTGTCACTGTTGTCACTGTTGTCGCCCTTGTCACCTTTGTCACTGTTGTCACGGTTGTCTTGGTTGTCACAGTTATCACTGTTGTCACTGTTGTCACCATTGTCACCGTTGTCATCGTTGTCACCGTTGTCACTGTTGTCACCGTTGTCACCGTTGTCATCGTTGTCACTGTTGTCACCATTCACTTTTGTCACCGTTGTCACTGTTGTCACCGTTATCACTATTGTCACTGTTGTCACTGTTCTCACTGTTCTCACTGTTGTCACTGCTGTCAGCGTTGTCACTGTTGTCACCATTGTCACCATTATCACGCTTGTCACTGTTGTCACCGTTGTCACTGTTTTCAACTTTGTCACTATTCTCACTGTTGTCGCTGTTGTCGCTGTTTTCGTTGTTGTCACTGTTGTCACCATTGTCACGGTTGTCACTGTTGTCACCATTGTTATTGTTGTCACCGTTGTCACTAACGTCACCGTTTGCACCGTTGACACAGCTGTCACTGTTGTCACCGTTGTCACTGTTGTCACCGTTGTCACTGTTGTCACTGTTGTCGCTGTTTTCGCCATTGTCACACTGTTGTCGCCGTTGTCGCTGTTTTACTGGTGTCACTGTTGTCACTGTTGCCACTTTTTCACTGTTGTCACCGTTGTCGCTGTTGTCACCATTGTCACTGTTGTCACTGTTGTCACCGTTGTTACTGTTGTCACCATTGTCGCTGTTGTTGCAGTTTCACTGTTGTTGTTGTTGTCGCTGTTGGCACCGTTGTCACTGTTGTCGCTGTTTTCACCGTTCTTGCTGTTGTCACCCTTGTCACCGTTGTTGCTGTTGTTACTGTTGTCGCTGTTATGGCACTGTTGTTGCTGTTGTCACTGTTTTTGCTGTTCCCGCGGTTGACAGTGTTGTGAGTGTTGTTACTGTTGTCGCTGTTGTCACCGTTGTCGCTTTTGTTACTGTTTCTACAGTTGTCTCTGTTGTTCCTGTTTCTCTGTTGTGTTTTGTTGGTCCTGTTTTTCTGGGTATCCCTCTGTCCCTGTTGTGCGCACGAATCTTTCGACAAAGTTTTGAACCAACGTCCAAGAGAATTTTGCGGACAAATTTTTTGACAAATTACCGGAAAGTTTTTCGGTAAATAATAAAAGACACTCTCCTAGAGTTTTTACGGAAATTCCTTTTCTTGGAGCTGGGGTGAAGAATTTATAGCTTAAAGACAACTGGTACGATAGGGAACATATACAACACACTTAATGTTTTTTAGAATTCTTCTAGTGGTCTTGGAATGTGTATGTTTTTTTAAGGGGCACCTAGCGATTTTTTTCTGTAAAATAAATGTTTGAAGGAGCAAATATTGCCTAGAAATTTCTAAAGCTTGAGAAAAGCTAAAAATTTCTGGATATTCGTTCCATACGTCTAAAATATTCGGAGGTTTTGTAATAGCTTAATTTTGGGAGGTTGTGTTATTCACATTTTAATACCAAAGTATTGCGATTATTGTTAAAAAAAGGTCTCCTAAAACTTTCGGTCTAAAGACAAAACGTCCCCTATAATTTTCTAACGAAAGCAAGGCTACTTCATGTCCTCAAACTTTCGACCAGACCCATAAGGGTAGCTAACACTTTCGGATGCGACGAAAAAGCCACCTAAAACTTTCGTGACGACCAAAGTTCCCCTAAGGCATCCGAACAGATAAAAAGTTTTTCGGGCAACTCCAAAGTAACCAAACAGGCTTCTAAAGCATAGAGAAAACCATCTGAGACACTTCTGGCGTATTTGGAAACATTTTGGTCGTTGGGTGCCCATGTTTTTTATAGGGTGACAAAAGGTATGCAAAAGAAATATAATAATCACTAACATGCAATACCTTCCGATACAATATCTTCTAAACATTTTATTTTTATCACATAATAAGCCAAAGAACATTTTAAAAAATACAGATACAATAACTTTTCAGTGCAAAAAATGGTATTTTATGAACCATCTACGTAAATTGACGCTAATTCTCAGTCCGTCATTTCATTAGTTCTGACTTGTAACCATATTTCAGGATATTTCAGTATTTATAAGTATTAGTGAAAGACTCACTCACTAGCTTTTTAGAGTACTGGCTGTCAAAAGGATTGCAGCTTGGAAAAAGTTTTAACAGCCCCTCACCAAACAGCTAATCAAATCCACATACCACGGCACTTTTAGAAATCTGTTATGAGGGACAAGGTGTGTCTTCTTTTGAACCCATGAGGCATCAAACCCTGACTCCAGTGCCCTGTACCATAGAGCATAGAGTAACCTATTGATGCAGCTTTTATGCAGTCTGTAGTGGGGGGGAGACTCCGCATATGAAAGGGGTGGGGATGCTCGTCGGAAATTTTGAATTAAACCCCTAAAGGAGACCGATCTGGGCGTGGCCCAAGCTTTTTTTGACCCCTAAAAGTAACCATGTTAAAACACAGACAATATACATATTATTATATTTTTTCGCGTGCAACCGTAAACGAGGCCTTCACGGCTAAATATGATGGCGTTTTGCCCAGAACACCCTAAGTGAGACCAAAATCCGACATTTCGCCCCTAAGCGAGACGACGAGCAACCCCACCCCTTTCATATGCTGAGCGCCCCCCCCCCCTCCCCGGGCTGTAGTCACAAAAGTCAGTGACTAAATAGAAACGTAACTATCCCGTCAAATTGTCATCCCAGGAGTCCATCATTAGTTCTCTTCTACTTGTCTGATGCAGTAACATGGCCTTCAGTTTAGGTGGTGGCAGGACAACATATCTGACTCCTTTATCGTCGGGAACATTATCGTCTCTTGAACCACATGCACAGCTTTTAATGAACAGATCTGTGTCGATCTCCTGCGCTGTGTACATGAACTGTAACATGGCGCCGACTGCTGACATTAATAACCATCCAAGGAACATTGCTAATGCTGGAAAAAGGGTGTGATAATGCTCTTAAAACCCTCACTTTCAAAATGGATCGAGCCAAATGCAACACCTCTCTTTTGTACATGAGGTTTAACTGTATGTGAATAGGTCATTTTCATAAACAACACTTTGTACACAGCCCCGGGGGGGGGGGCACTTTAGGAATTTCTGGGTGGGGATGTGCCGCTGGGAGTCTGGAACCCTTAACCTTTACCAGAGCTAGTTCAGCTGAATTTTGCTACCCTATACTAGAGTAAACTCCCCAAATCCCCCTATCCTAGAGTAGCTGTGTACCTAGTCTAGATAAAATCTTCAACCAACTGAAAAAATGATACCCTATTCTAGAGCCAAACGCTCTGATTTATATACCCTATCCTAGAGTAAACTGCTTGAAAACCATACCCTTCACAGCGGCACATACCTATATAGCCCATATATGGCAGTACCCCCCCCCCTTCCCCCCGGGTACACAGCCCTCTTTCAAAATGTAGGCTTACGACTCCTCGGAAACGGCCTTAATTTCTAGGCTCAGGGGAGGAGTGGGGGTCATTTCCTAACAAACGGTTGGTAATCGGGCCTAACTCACAATAAAGAGATAGTAAAACAAGGAATATATTATACAGTACACAATAATAATGCATACTGAGAGGAAAACTTGCATGTGTGAATACAAATTACGACTAAGTGTGAAAAGCCTTGGACTTTACTTCTGACCCTGCGAGCTTAACGAACATATTCTTGGGAGTGGTCGGGTCTTGTCTTACCTTGATCAGTAAACTCTTCACGAGCCTCATGAAACTCCAGTTTAACTCTAGAGGGTGTGATGGCTGCCTGACTGAGTGCATCCTTTGTTTTGAACAGAATTTGTTGGATCAAATGGGTAAAAGCAGTCCTGCAATAGTGATCCAGACCTAAGAGAGTCATTAAACCCAATTTTTTAGTGCATCCCAGATAACCAAGGGAAATCCCAAAGAAAAAAAACACCTTAAGAAGGGTCATTGGAGGGCATCTTGAAGGCCAAAATATGCCAGGGAAAGACTGAATCTAAACTCTAATTTCCACTGAGAGGGCTGGTGGCTGGGGCGGGAAGAGGGAGAAGGGGTCAAAGCAATAACTCTCTCTCTTCAAGAGAGTATGAATTTTTTATGAAGCAACACAATGTCATTACTAACCAAGAAGAAACATCAGTGATCCAGTAAACGAGGTGGCAATAACAACAAACACCTTCTCAAGCCAAACAGCAACCACTCCAAATGCAAGACTAGTGCCAGCATATATACCATAAAATGCCAGGTCACTGAAAATAGAATCATACTATTAGAAAGTACAGTGTTAACACGGACAAGTGAGGTGAAAATTATTTTCTTTACTCTGTTATGTTGTTGTGTCATATCTGCAAGCCTACCTTGACAAGTGTTTTGATATCGCAAGAGTGACCACTACAACAGAAAGAGCCTGTAGGTGTAGATAACAACAGGAAACTCTGGATTAGTGTTTGTCAGAACAGTAAATGGCTTGCTATATACACCCAATTGCAAAACCGTTGTCACAGAAAAATGAAAAAAAGAAAAAGGCCAAATAGGAATTAATTCGGCTAACTTAGCCACATTCTCATGGTGGATTCATTTGCAGTCTTTGCATTTCCCCGATAGAATTTTTAGTTTTATTGTCTTTCACCTTTAAAACAATAGCAAATTCCAACAGGCAAGTATGATGTCTATGTGCAGATGCTGCAAATGAATTCATTAGGTTTCTTAGCCTAATTAATTCCCATTTGGCTTTTTCCTTTTTTTCACTTTTCTAAGACATTATTGCAATCAGGTGTAAATGTTAAAATAAATATCCACATCAGCAGCAAGTGCTCCATGATTTTCACAGTGTAGACTGAGTAATTTCGCTCGTCAGCAGGTGACGGCAGTTTACCTGTCTGTACCAAGGTATGGTAGATGTCTGATGTCAGACTTCTGATTTTAGATGTCTGATTTCAAAGGTCTGATATCAGACGTCTGATGTCTTACGTCACACGTCCTCTGTATGATGTCAGGCATCTGATATCAGACATCTGATGTCTCATGTTAGACATCTGATGTTTCATACTGATGTGAGACGTCTGATGTCTCATGTCAGATGTCTGAAGATTCTTGTCTGATGTCAGACGTCTTATGTCAGAAGTGTGACGACAGACAACAAACAGAAGTCTAACTAGAAATCAGACAACAAATATCAGACGTCTGACATCAGATGTCTGACATCAGACAACAAACATCGGGCATCTGATATCAGACTTCTGATATGAGACATCTGACATCAGAGAACAAACATGTTGTCTGATTTCAGACGCCTGATGTATGATGATGATCTTGAGGCTCTGAGTGATGAATAACACATTTCTTTATTTTACTCCCCCATGTCTCGGAGAGAGCTCAAATTTTAATATATCGAAATCGTCTATTTACATGCAAGGAGAGAGAGATGTCTGGAAATGACACAATACAGTCAACTCTTGCCTAGCTGACACCTCGCTGTAATGGACACCCCGATAATACAGAAAGTAGCTAAATCCTCGGCAAAAAAAAATCACAGATGTTTGACTGAAATGAAGTCCTGCTATTAGTGACTCTCGTTCAAGAGGCCTTACCAACTCGGAGGTCTCTACAGTGTCCGCTATGAAGGGAATTGACTGTATTTGTAGGATATATTACTTACCCATCCAATAATGCAGCCCATACAGAAAACACCAATCTTGTAAACATAGCAGGCCAATGCACCAGCAATAAGTCCACAAATAATACTTATGGAGACTCGCACTGACAAGAGGAAGGTATAGGTAAGCATTGCTCCTTCACAAAACACAAACAATAAAATTACAAGCACTGTCATGGATGTGTATGTTACTGGGCAAAAATAAATTCAGGTTAAAATTTTCTGACCTTGTTTGATTCTTAATTTCCATTGTCCCCTAGCACTAATTATTCAAGAATCAGGACAAAGGAGAATCTACCTAGCGTAAAAAAATTTAACCTTCAAATAATTTGACCTGTAACATTTACCTTCTAAATTGTGGTTTCCATCACAGCAGAATTCTGTGTCTAATACATCAGGACTGAGGAAATAAAACCCAAACCCAGCAAAAGCAAAGGCTGCGACGATAACTATCGGCTATAGAAACAAACAAAAAGAAGTAAGTTATAACAATATTGTACCTTGTTACTTCTCAGGCAGCTCACAACACATATATTAGTATTTTTCTGTAAATCATCAATCAGTCTTTTCATTTTTGTTTTCACTGACAAACATGGAGGTGGCAAATGGTCTTTCCACATGCAAGTCTTACAAAATTTTAACCAAATTTCAAGTGCCTCACTATCTTGTATGTTTATTTGTTTTTCACTGTTGGTCTTGCGGTCTTGAGTTTTCACAAAGCCACCACAAAGTCTCATTTTTTGCAAGGCTAAAAAGGACTCAAAGTTTTAACTTTTGATTTTTTTCACGGCTACTTCTCTCAAATGTCCCTGAGTAGACAGTACTCCATATAAAATGACGCAACTTAAAGAAAGAAGCCTATTGTGAGTTAATGGAATTTATTTGACAATAATATTTGACTAATAAGTAGTCTGAAAAGAACACGGCCAGTTTTAAATCTTTAGCTAAAGTTTCCATTTACCCGTGGGGTTGGTACATTAGATATTGTCTGGAACCACACATTAATTTTCAGTTTTGCATGAATCTACTGAGTGATGGTTGTACCGAACTCTGCCTTCTAAAGGTCATCTGCAGATGTATGAGGCTCTCTTAGGACTGGCATGGGAGGTACATATATTTCCCTAGTCTGAATTTCCATGTCCTTGTTTGTATTTAACCCATCTTTATGTCAGTTGTCACCATTTCATCTAGTCTATGCTAAGGCCATGTCGTTTGTTTGAATTTTACCCTAATTAACAGGGCTTCATGTATGATCTAACCTACAATTTAATAATTAAATTCATTTCTACCTTAATGAGTCGATACCCTAGAATCCATACAACAAGGCCAAGCACTGACAAGACTAATACACCCACTGGGTGACTGTACCTAAGGTAAACAAGAATAATTATTATAGTAATTTAAAAGATCAGAAAACAGCTTTTATTTGAGTCAACACAGACTGCTCTTCTGCGAAAACAGTTTCTTCCCAGATCAAAAAATTTAAACTAAAATTTGTATAAATGAGGTTGTTTATCAGAAGTTTGTCTTCAAACCAACCTATAAATGAATCAAGAGATGAAAGGAATACACAGTGGCCTTTAACTTCCTGTCAGATTCATCCATATTTTATGGCTGAATTTTTGGCTAACTGTAATATGGTTTAACCCACAGAAAAATTATAAAAGATTGATTCTAATACTGGTGCAATCAATTCCTCATAAATAAAAAATTGTATCTAAATTTGGTGTAGAATGAAGACAATAAGCTGAGTATTTTCAGTGAAAACAAGAAATAAATTTACTCCAGTATGCCTGCAATACTCTTGAAACATGTTTTACGTACAGTTGAAACTCCACTAACAGTCACATCTCTACAATGGCCTTTTTTGGGCAGACAAGTCATACACTTACTCTTGCTTAAACCTCTCAACAATGGCCACCTCTCTACAATGATCACTTTCTTCTGTCCCCATGGTGGCCATTATGGACAGGTTCAATAGGTACTTTTGGCAGGGTATTTACCTTCCATTTTCTAAATGTAAGCTTACATGTACACTGTTCGACTGTTGAAAGCTTGCCCTTTTCATTTGTTTCTGCCTTTTAAAAACTGCTCCTCTAATAAGATGAGTCAACTTACAAAAGAAAACAAAACCGTGAAGATAACAAATTATAGAGATTTACCTAAGCAACGTTTATTGGTACAAGTAAGCGATGCAGAAGAAAAAGAACTAAGAACACACAATAGCGAGGCGGAATTAAAGTAATTAAAATAGCTTTCTCATAAGATGGAGACTGGAAAATTGCTTTAAGCCTTTTTAAGGATCAGTGATGTTTATATTTGTATCCAGTCACACAAACTTGCCATTTGATAAGTACGTTAAACAGATGACTAATATTCTACATTAGAAGTGGAAAGTTTAGTACAAAACCAAACGGTAAACGACAAGTCAGATGAATGAAATTTGACAAAAATGGCTACTATAGATAATCAAAAATTCAATAAATAGATGAAATAACTTACCCGATATAGGGCTTACTTGATGAAAGCCATCGATGAAAAACTCCATGGTCGGTGTTGTTCATCAGCTGGGTATTCATGTTGTGTTCTCATAATTTGTGGGAACAGGAAATTTCGGCCAGAGTTTGCGATGAATATGCACAGAACCATTTGCATATAAAAATAGCTTTAAACAGCGATTGTATTCCAATGTAGGTGTCAACATCTTGAGAGATTTAGTACAGAAACACTCAAAAAAATTCTTTCGAAGGTTTGTAAGTTTCCAAGGCAAAAAGACAAGTTTTTCAGTACGTTATGTAATCCACATTATACTGTCCCAAGTAAGAGTTCCGTCACCGAGTTCCTCATGTAAGAAACGCTATACGTCTCAAACTTATAGCTGTGGTTTCACACGGGTTTACAAGGATATTCGTTAGTTATGCACCTGCATAAAAGATGTGCCAGGATTGCGTAAAAGAAAGACATCCTCAGAGGGTAAATAGTCCGAAAAAAAAATTTACCGTAGGTTTGCTTATTAAAAATTGCTTAACATGTTTTATATAAAAAAGATCCTACGTGCTGCCATCAAAAATCTTATTAATTATAAGCTTAACATATTTAGGATTTAAGCTCACTGAATCTTTAATATTTATCTTTAAAAATGTAAGACTTATTTCTCTTCATTGAATGTTTTCAGCAGGGACTGGAGATTTCGGACTGATGATACAAATCAATACTTATTCAATAGACCTCTATAGCTTGTATGCTTTGTTTTCCCAATGAAGCGGTCCCGAATAAACGAAATTGACCCTTTGTCTTTTCATATATTTAATATGCATATGTATACACATGAATAAGATGAAATTTGAAACAGTTCTCTAGGTGTTATCAAATAACCCGTATTGGGAAAATAAAGAGGTCTATTCCAAGGGTGCCCTGATTCTAGTCCCCAGAGACTGTCAATTTTCTTTTGGTCTCGTGGTCTTATTGCTGAGTGGTTCTAAGAATAAATGGAGGGTGCACATCACCTCCAGCCAGTCAGAATTTATATTGGGTGTTATTCTTGTTCATTCAAAATATGTTGCTGTTTCTGATCGGCTTCAATTCCGCAGCTAATCCCTCATAACCAGCTAGTGCTTACCATATTTCAGCAATTTATTATTATATACCTTGGTATATTGCCTTTTAGTAAAATCCAACTAGTGGTCTACTATCAAAGCTGCGTTCTGATTGGTTGAGCTACTATTAGGCTATATGTTATAGCCCACTAGTAGCGAAAAGCACCGGCTTTGATAAACCAAAACAATGGCAGCTGAATCTCGTTTTGCTTAGAGCTAAAGTTGTTTTGTCTCGATATTTTTGACCAACTAGTTGGATTTTACTAAAACAATATTCCTCTTGCCCTCATGGCCTCCGAGTCAATAGCCCATTCAGCCTTCAGCCTCATGGGCTATTGACTCAGAGCCAATTCGGCCTTGAGGAATAGATTGTTAAAATGGTGATCGCTGTGTACCGGCCAACTTTTTTAAATTCATAGTGTGACTTTTTCGTAGGGGTCTGATATCCAAAGATGACTGAAGACATTCTGAAAACTTGCAAAATGTTCTGAACAGTTCCGTCTAACATGAATACAAGAACACATAGTCCTGAACACAACTCTCCAATGGCTTTCCCTACTAAACTAAGAGAATTCGGAGAAAGTCAGTCATGCTCATGTAGACTTTTCTTTTCTCTCGTTGGTCAGTTAATGTTGTAATGCCTCAAACATGTCTACCAAAAATGAGAAATTGGAACACAGGTGTGAGTAGACGTGGGATCGAAGTTTTGGATCAAGTGTCACACCTCAGGCATGACACTTGGCAGGTAAATCACTGCTTTCTCTTGATCTGGTTAACTACCTAGTGTTCAGACCAGTACATGTCTGTATATTTTAGGGCACCATCTGTTTGGAGAGTGGTTCATATCTGATGAACTTTGCGTCCTGTATAGCTTGTGGTAGAAAAGAACCTCTCAAGATTACAGACAAGTCAACTGAGGAGGATGAAGATGGCAAGGAACTCATAACTTACAAGCGTATGTTTGTATTTCACTTAGATACGACATACAGCTTGTATACAAAATATTAAATCACAACAGTGCTGTCAACTCTCCTGGATAATCCAGGAGACTCCTGATTTTGAGCCGTTTCTCGTGGTCTCCAGATTAGAGTCTGAAATCTCCCAGATAATTCCCGAAGTTTGCTATTTCTTGTAGATTTGACTTTCTGTCAATGAAATTTCAAATATTTTATTTTTGCATTGTTTGAGCTTTAAACTTTTAACACAGTCTGAACGTTTCCTCATAAACCCCGGTATATCATTGTAATATAAGCAATAATGTGCTCAGTGGAAAGTAAACCAATCAGGTCCAAATGTTGCAATTCCAACATCTTTTTTGCATGTTTTTGTGCACAAATGACTTCATGTTTGGTGCATTCAGATGTCATCTATTATCCCTTCCCTGTCAATTCTCAATATTTGAAGATGTGGGGAGTTGTTATTGATCCTGACAGAAAGAAAGGACCGAGTGAACAAAATGATGAAAAAATGTGTATATCTATTTTGAAAAACCCTTGTAGATTTTGATTCTATGTGTATTTTGAATTTTATTTTCATAATAACTGTTGGAGCTTTACAATTTTTTTGCAGATGTCTGTCCAAGCTGTGATCACATTGTTGCTTCTCATGAATACACATTCAGAGTTGAGGGACAATACCAGGTATTTCCAGAATTAAATAATATTATTAGTATTCCAAGTCATCGAAAGTCATCTTACTTATCCCAGTTATCCAAGCAGGAGCAAATTATATCCCACAGTCATCCGAGTCATTTCATTCTTCCCATTCATCCCTGTCATACCAGTCATCCCAGTCTTCCTAGTCAACCTAGTAGTCATCTCAGTCAACCCAGTCATCCCAGTCATCTTAGCTGTCCTAGTCAGCCTACTCATCATAGTCATCTCAGTCATCCAAGTCAACCCAGTCATCCCAAACCTTCTACTCATCCCTGTCATCCTGATCACCCCACCTCCAAGTCATCCTAGTCATCCCAGACATTCCGGTCATCCCAGTCATCCTCGATCATCCTCAGTCATCCTAGTCGTCTTAGCCATGCCAGTCATCCTCAGTCATCCCACTCATCCTAGCCATGCCAGTCATCTCAGTCATACCAGTCATCCTCAGTCATCCTAGTCATCCCTGTCACCCCAGCCATCCCTACCATCTCAGTCATCCTCAGTCATCCTAGCCATGCCAGTCACCCCAGTCATACCATTCATTCTCAGTCATCCCAGTCATCCTCAGTCATCCTAGTCATCCCTGTCACCCCAGCCATCCCTGTCATCTCAGTCATCCTCAGTCATTCCCAGTCATCCTAGTCATCCCAATCCAGTAAACCCAGTCATCCCTGTCATGATAGTCATGCTAGTCATCCAGTCATCCTTACTTATCAAAGTTATCCTAACCAGTCATATCTAAGTCATTCCCCAGTAATCCTAGTCATCCCAGTCATCTTAGTCCTCCCAGTCATCCAAGTTATATCTCGGTCACCTTAGTCATCCTCGTCATCTAGTTATCTTAGTCATTCCAGTCATTCTAGTCATCCCAGTCATCCTTGTCATGCCAGTCACCCCAGTCATCGTATTCACGCCACTCATCCTCATCCTTATCCTGGGCAGTTATTCTAGTCATCCCGTTCATCACAGTCATTTCCTGTCATCCCAGTTATCCTCAGTTATCCCATTCATCACAGTCATTCCCAGTCATCCTTGTGATCCTCACCTTGCCAGTTAGCTTAGTCACCTCAGTGAAGCCAGTCATCTTAGTCACCCTACTCTATATCATCATCACCATTTTCTAATGGTAGTGACAGAACTTTATGCAGGAGGAGCAGTTACAATAACTACAAACCTTGGAGAATTTATTGCTGAATTTTACAGTACAAAAAAGAAACTTTATTAAATACAAGATGTCTCACTGGATCTTAATCAGGATACTTACATTAAAATATAAGCTGTATATTGATGTGTTACCTAATGTGTTAATGTTAAAAGTACAGAGACCTTCTATCTACAAGGTCTTAGTTGTTCAAAGGTAAATTATTGCTATCTGCTGGAAAGTAATTTATTTGATGGATAGGGCAATAAATAATATTTGTTTGAACAACTGGCACCAGTCTGTTAATGGTCCATTTCCATCATTTTTTGAAGAGGGGAATGCATTTTGCTTTGATCTTTTTTTTCTTAATTTGCATAAGTCATTATCCTCAATGACTGGAGTGGGGTAGATGTTTTTTAATGGAAATTTCCTCCTAATTAGTAATGTTTTCTTTATTTTACAGGAGTACATGATGACTTGCCTTCTATGTGGTACAGCAGCGGCTTCTGTTAGTATTTTACCTGAAGACTCTAACAGGACAAACCATCTATTTTAACTTTTTGTACACACCACTAACAGGACGCTGCTCAAAACAGATCTTTTAACATACATGAAGCACCACCATATTTTTGTATATTTTTTTTTTAGGCCTTCCTTGGCTAGAGCTGTAACTTAAGTGTCGTTTTCGACTGTCTGAGGAATGAAAAAAGCAGAAAATGTTTTCTCACACACAGCTGGGAGTATGGCTTTGAGTGTGCAGGGGGTATTCAGATCACATGGCGTTTCAGAGTTCAGTTGTTTTTGTTACCTTCCGCCATTGCGTGACCTGCCCCGCCCACCCATCCTCCATGTGTTTTATGGGTTTTTGTAGGATTTCAAGTAGTGCCTTAGTTCCGGTTATTCTTGTATGTTAATCTTGTATCTAGGCTCAGTGTCAGCCATTTTGTTAGCTTTCTTTTTGTGCTGCAACACTAAAGATTTGTGGTGCTGATGTAATAAAGGTCGGGCTGCATAGTCGGCTTGGCATGGCTCCCAGTTGTGTATGAGAATTAGTAATTTTTGTCTGTTGTTTGCTGCCAAAAATTAATTTTGTCCATAGAATTTACATTCAAGAACAGTCATTGTTATCAAGAGGAGCAATAAAACTGTACATAAGGTTATACTAATTTCATTGTCAGTCTCATTGTACAACAATACTAATTTTAGGCTTTATGATACACTCAGGGAATTAATAATATTTGCAGCCAGTTTGCTGTTAATTTGAATGGAATTTTGAGACTATTGAGAAGTTTACAGTCACCATATTATGTAATGTTGTTGTTAGGTAACGCTAGCCTGAGTATCAAGCCTTCCTAAGGGGCTAGGGGAGAGGAGATTTTGCTCTCTCCCTTTTTCGCTTCAATCTTTCCACTTTTCCCCCAGAAAGACCTGATACTCAGGCTAAGTTAACACTAATTGTCATGAAAATGATGTTTACACATGAGTTTATTATTACAAATAGTCTTTTTAAACCTTAAATTTGTTGAAATACCACATGAATGCAAACATCAATCCACCTGGTTTATGCTTGGAAGCATCAAACA